CGCCAGTGTCTGGGGCTGCTCCCGCTGGGGGCGCGCTGCTGCGCCGGAGATGGTCCACGTTGACCTGGCAAAGTCACGCCAGTGACCGGCCAAAAGTGAAAGCCAGTGACCAGTGACCAGCCAGTGACTCACAAGGTACCGCCAGTGACCACGTTTTGGGCTCACCACTCACTCTCTCACTGAAGTGAGCAAACGGGGGGCCTCTGCGGGCGCGAAGGCTGGTTTATTGGGTTTCTCAGCACTAAGCTAGGCAAGCCACCGTCCAAATCCCAGCTCTGGGTTTACCACCAAAAGGTATATATCAAGTCCAGAACCTCGAGTCAAGTAACACATCCAGGTCCATCCCGAATTATATCTTGGGCATGTGTACAGGGTTCACTAAAGTGACTCATAGTCAAAACCCAGCATTAAGCAAATGTTTTACTCAAAACTATGTAAAAATAAAAGGGCGGCTGCACCAATTTCTGGTTGGGATTATCCCTTACTAACCTTGATCTAAACGGGTTTTGATTGTGGCTCAAGTGAGCAGTTTGATGTTCTCGAAGATATTTCCTTGAGGACGTCCTTTTCAGCATCATTGATGCACCTCACCAGTAAAACCCACACACCAAGGCATATTTGTTGCTGTCCCTTTTTGCTACCTGAGATGCGTTTCACACAAGCACACACACACAATCAAGGGGATTATGGTCCAAAACCATGCTGGATGAAACCCAGGCTGCCTTTGAAAAATGTGACAATGCGCTTTGTTCTGTTCTATGCCGGCCCTCGGCCTGTGAACCGGCGTTGACTCAGCCTCACCCTTTTTCAACTGTTCTTGCAGATTCGTCTTCCGTCTTCCTAGTCCTTCCGCCGCAAAGAAGCTGCTTGAAAACCGTCTGTTCCGCGCATCTGGGATATCTTTATTCAGCATAATGTCGGCTCCTGGACCAAAAGATGACTGCGACAAATCAGGACGCTGATCAACCACTTGGCGTGGTCCGAAGCTTCGAAGCCAACGCCGTTGACACAACTCGCGTGGAGGCTTTGGGAGTCCCCACAGTGCGATTCGCGTAGGGAGGGTTCAATTGACCTAAGAACTTCGGCACTCACGCCATCCATTTGGACCCTGAAACTACTTCCTTGACAGCCGGCGCCCGCATTTCGGGCTTTGCGAGACCCTCGGCCAACAATAGGGATTCTGTCCCAAATTGGGTGTTTAGTGGACGTTCAGGGGGTACCTTCCTCTTTGATTTTCAAAGGTCGGTTCAAATCCCCAAAACAATCCAAACCACTTGAGAAGTACCCGACGGATGTCTTGCACAGGACCCGAACCCACATCTGCCTGTGACAAGGTAGCCATGACCACCGCGCCACGCATCTCCTGCGGTTTGCGCGCCCTTTGATGCCCATGCTCAGCTTCCCCACAGAAGGACATATGAAACTAGTAACATTCCAAATTCAGAAAGGGATGGCCTGAGCGGGTTGTTGCGCCCAGCCACTTTTGCTCTTTCTTCTGAGATTCAAACCCAAAAAACACATCGAGAATTCGAAACACATATCTGACAAAGGAAATGGTTGGGTCTTACTCACGCACAAGTCTGAAACCGAAGATAAATCTAAAGAAGCAAGAACAAAAAAAAAGAAAAAAAAAAAAACACCTGACAAGGGACAGACTGGAGCTTGCTGACTTACAAATCTGCAACCCGAAAAGAACAACATATCGAGACAACTCTGACAAAGGAAATGGTCGGGTCTTGCTCATATGCCAATTCTTCTTCTTTTTTTACAGTGTTTCGTGTCCAGTTTTCTATTTACCCTGTGCCAAAAAAATCCCCTGCCAAATAATGTTGTGTCTTTCCAAATTTCGGTCTGCAGCTTTTTGGAAAAGAAGCTCCTTTCTAAAGGAGTTTGATGGAAGCAAACAAACCAACCTGACAAAGGACATGGTTAAGTCTTGCTCGTATGCCAAAAATTGTCCCTGTCATCCTTTCGATTTATCTATGTGTTGTTCTCTCGGTTTTCCGTGTGCTTAACATATCCCCCTATATATCAGAATGTTCTTTGTTTGTCCTTTTTTACGTCTGCGCTTTATTGTGGAGATGGAATTCCTCTTCAAAGGAGGTTAATGAAAACTTGGCTCGAATTTAATTGACATTTGATCGGGTACCAAACCAAGTATAATTTCTATTTTAAGCTAACAAGTCTAAACAGTGAAAACCTGTAAGCCGTGAGAACTGTGCAACCTCAGATCTACTGGTTTAAGATAACACATTATTCAATTGAATTGGTTTCTTATTGATGTACATGTAAATGCTATATACTTAAGTTGAACCAAGATCATATCGGCAAAGACGTTCCTATTGAAATCCTAACTTGAACTAGAAATGCTGACTAACATATGTTTCCTCATTGAGCTCTATACATTCTCTGTCACTGCAGTTGCTGCAACATGATTGATTTACGCATACATTCACGCTCACACCCCTCTCTCCATATTATCGCCCCCCCCCCCCTCCAAGTCCATTTTTGGGGAGAATGCCCGCTACTCAGTTTCAGTTAGATTTTCTGAGCCACCAATTCGGTGACCGGTTGAATGGGCTCTCACACATGCGTTCCTTTGGGATGTTACACACATTGTCCTTGCAAGCGATTGGAACCTGTTTGTTGCCTGTTTGAGGTCTGCGTATGTGGGTCGCGAAGGCTTGTACTACAGACACACAGCCTCAAGTAAAGATGACTGTAGGTTAGCCAGCCTGGGCTGTCCTCAGATCCCCCTCTAGTTTCTCTTTTTGTGTTAAACGGAAGCCCAACACTAAACCCCGAAAAGCTAAAAAGCTCAGGAACCTTCAAAACTCGTGGCAGTTTTCATCCATCTTTCGGGAACCGGTCCAGAATTTGCTCCATGCACAGTATAACTTACCCGATGTGGGTAGGGCCCCAAAACGACTCCAAGCTTTGTCGAGGTCGAGGGGCATGTGCCTGGTGGCTTTTGCCGGCAGAGAAACGGATGATCTGAAGATCGAGGGACTAAAAATCTGACAAAAGCTTAAGTTGAACCGGATGGCCGGCACCGCACGCCAAGTTACTTCCCTCCAATCAACAGGGAACCTGACAGGGGGGTCCTGGCAGACCATTTTCCTTCTGAAGGAGAACCCCCCTGTCAGGAAACTGTCTTCCAGGACCCCCCCTGTCAGGTTCCATGAGGGAGGGTACTTCAACCTTTCCGCAAGTCCTCAGGCAACTCTGCCACCACCGTCGCGTCGATCTCCGCCGCCTAGGAGGTCAAGTTGGCGGTTTCTTTCGCCCCGAAGAAACTTGCTGGCTCTGTTGCAGACAACCGAAGTAACACGTCAACCCCGACACAAACATGGACTCCCGCAGAAACATGGAGACCAAAAGACAAACAACAGCCAGAAAAAACTGCATGGAACCCCGAAAATGCATCATCCGGAAGGGGGGGTTTCCTTTTGGGAGACCCTTTTTGGTTTCATCTGCTTTCCAGCGAAAAGCGCCAGAAGACGCCTGCAGCAAGGCGGTCTGGGTGCAGCCCAGGCTGGTGGCGAGCCGCTCAAGCTCTGCCTCAGGGCTCCCAGTTGGGTGTGGCTCAAAATTGTCACCAGGAGGGGCAAACCGCAGGTTTTGGTTCCATGATGTTCCATGTTTCTACCTAACAGGGTTGGATTTTGGAATTCCGGCTTTTTAGTTTTGGTTTCCATGTTTCTACTTAGCGATCGGGCAAGCCATTTTGGAATTCCGGTTAACTTTTCGCCGCAGCCAGTTGGACCCCACTTCAAACCATCCAAGAGGCCCACCTTGCATCAAACCCTGCGGCTTGCTGTTGGCAGACTCCCGCGTCTCACTCCATCTGGGAGAAACCAAGCCTGGTTGTTGTCTTGAACCCCCAAGCTGGATTGCGGTTTTCCTTTTGGTGGCCGCATTACACCCACAAGAAAACAACAATTGGTAACCCCCCCCCCCAAAAAAAAAAGAAGAGAGGCGACTCACCCGCGGCTTTGAGAACTTGTAGCTCTAGGGGGGGTTCAATAAGGTGCCCGAAGGAACCCTCTCAACTCCACAGGATGGACCAAACCCATTCTGCACCTGAGAAACCCTTCCTCCCAGGTTGCCACGCACTTCCGATCGAGGGCAGGGGCCAACAAGATAACACTTGTTGTTTACCGCTAACATGGTCTTACCAAAAAGTGACTAAACTCAGCCTCCCCCATGCGATTGCATGGAAGCTCCCAGCTTTAGTTCCAACTTCAGTAGCCTTCTGGGAGCTTCAATGGTAACCTTACAAACATGGCACCTGGGGACTCTTGTCAGCTAGCTGAAAGATCAATTTCCTCTTGGAGCCCTGTGCCGTGGTAGTGGGAGAGAGGGAAACCGCATCTGTTTCCTAAATCGTCCCAAAGTAGAAACCCCAACTCGGGGAGTGAGTCCGGGAGCCTTTGGTGGATATAATTTACGTGTGTGTGCGTGTGTGTGTGTGTGCGTGCGTGCGTGCGTGCGTGCGTGCGTGCGTGCGTGCGTGCGTGCGTGCGTGCGTGCGTGCGTGCGTGCGTGCGTGCGTGCGTGCGTGCGTGCGTGCGTGCGTGCGTGCGTGCGTGTGTGGGTGTGTGTGTGTGTGTGTGTGTGTGTGTGTGTGTGTGTGTGTGTGTGTGTGTGTGTGTGTGTGTGTGTGTGTGCGCGTGCGCGTGCGCGTGTGCGTGTGCGTGTGCGTGTGCGTGTGTCCACCAAACCTTAGTGAGGGTATGTGAGGGTAGTTTTGCATGAAAGCTCCATGCCTACATGAGTCATAATCAAAACGCTGATATGAAAGGCGTCTACCCAAAAGACCAACATCCACTTTTTGCGCGGCAGAGTTCTCGGTCGAAAGCATCCTGCCAGCCAAAAAACGCGCTTTCTTGCTCTTGCACTTACCCACACTTGTTTGCTCTCACACCCACCCAAACCCGCAAAACAGCTGCAGTCGACCCATAAGCCGCGAAATTCAAGCTCCACAAGACTCTGACCACATGCCACATTTCAGCCACTTTTGGCTCCCCACGATGCCCAGCGCCGCAGCAGGATCCTAAGTGCTACACGAACCCACTCTCGCCGAGAAAGCCATACAAGGCCTACACAAATAGGGTTGCGGTAGAAGGCTACATCCAACAACCAGACTTACAAGGGCATCCGTTTATTCAGCTGCGAAAAGCATGCTATACACTAGCTGTCCAATGGTTGGTATCTTTCGGGGACTCCAAATATCGAGATGGTTTCGCAATCAAAACGCGGCTTGACAGCAACATCCGGCCAAGCCGAACATGGTCCAAAACTCAAGGTCCTTTGAGCTGAGTTCAAAGGGACCGAAAGGAAACCAACCAAATGAGTCATAATCAAAACCCGGCACAAAATGGTGCACCCAGCACCATGTAAAGAACTAAGAAGGCGGCCGCAGCTATTTATGGCTGGGATCGTCCCTTGCTAACCTTCATCTACCCGGACTTTGATTGTGGCTCAAATGCGGGGACAAAACCTGCGGTTCCAATAAACATGGTTGGAATTCGCTACATCCATCCGTAGCGCTTGAGTTCAACAAGTGATCGAGTGCAAGTCTCAAACCCCATGGGGGAATTCGTAAGTCCAAGGTCTCCAACCGCTAGGTCCTCCAGAGAGAGAGAGAGGTTAGAATAAGGGTACCCGATTTGTTTTTTCTCTTTTGTCTATCTTAATAGGGGAGCCGAATCTCCCCCAAAAAAAGAAACGGGAAAAGTTGGCACTACTGGGGGATCTAGGCATGCCACGCTTCGGCCGAAGCCCTGCCTCTGCAGGTTCCGCCGCCGCAGCCGCCGGCGCCTCCGCCGGAGCCGCCTCCGCCGGAGCCGCCTCCGCCGGAGCGGAGGCCGCCTCTGCTTCTGGCTCCTTTGGCTCCGGCGCCGGCGGCTCCGCCGGCACCGGCGCCGCCGGCGCCTCCTGAGTCACTTGCTCAACACCCTTTGTATTAAATGGTCTAATTACCCAGAACCATGCTTCAAGAATTAAGAAGGCGGAGATCCGCAACGATTTCTGGCTGGCCCTTACTAACCTTCATCTACCCGGGTTTTGATTGTCGCTCACCTGAGCGCGTCAAACCCAGGCCTGACGCAGAGTCAAAGCCCAGGATGTTTTGAGGGCACACCATTCTGATGGCATATTGGTGTAGAGAGAGAACAAGGGAGAACCAAGCGAATGCAAACCAGCGTAGGTTTCCCAGGCGCAGGTTTCCCACCGACAAACCAGGACGCGCCTTCGCCTCCTGAGCAGAAGCTTGGGCCTCACATGACATCGACGCACATCCAGCCATGTAAGCCATGCCAAAACCGGGTTCTGGATCCCCCGAAGTGGCCGTTTTCGTGTTGGCGTCAATTCAAACAAACCTGAAAAAGCTGCCCTCCAAAACACGCAGCCCATAATATGCCGTTCTCCCAATGGACATGGGAAAAGGAAGGTTCCACTCCCTAGATGCGAATTTCAAGTCTCCTGGCATGTCCCGAATCCCGAATCACAAGTTAACCATGCGCTACTGCAAATTTGACTGAACCTCACTTGCAATCTATCTGCAGGTGCTGCCTTTCCGCTGCGTGATCTTCACTCATACTTCAATCAAGGACACCTTTCGTGTGCTGGCCTGCGTCGCGCAACCGTTTCAAACTACCACCATCGTGCTCTTGTGACATACAGGTAATTATTGCGGTACAAACTCAACCTGGGGACCCTATGGAGAACCAGGTCCACCAAGTTTCAAAGCCGCATCCCTGCTAGATGGCTGCTCAGAAGCTATGACCAGCCATACCCATAGCCGGTTTGTCCCCCAGGTCTTTGTGCGAAATGAGTTCCCGCATGTTTTTCCCACATGAACCATAGGGAATAGAGCGAAAACCCCAAGTAGCGAAATATTATGTGTTTGTATTTCAAATGGGTGTAGGACTCCAACAATCACGGCCTTATCATAAGATACTGATATATCAGGGAGAGCCATTGCAACCTAATGGATATTGACCAGTGAGGGGGCCAAGGACCAAGGGTCACAAGCTTCCCATCCGATTGCTAAAGAAACAACCGGCGCCTGAGTTTCCGCAGGCGCGGCTGCACGCCCGGCTTCCTGCGGGAAAAGTGACTTGTCATAGGCAGATATGTAGTACAGCATGCATGTATGTATTTATGTATAAGTATCTGTGTGTATATGGGTATACACTTGAATATGTTTAGACACACCTAATATATACCAAAAAGTCCAGCAGAGCCGGATCCGGACACTTCAGACATTTAACGACAATAGTTTGGAACGCGCTTCTTTTCTCGTTGCCTCTTCCTCTCTCTGGTTTTCCCTGAAAACAACGCATTTGCTGTCTCTCACCGCCCGACAGTCCAATCACAGTCTGTACCTACGCGGCCCGAAACAGAACACATTTCGAGGCTCGAGGTCAGCGACACTCCGGCACTCCGGCAACCTTGATTAAAGGAGTTATGCGTGTTACACTCATGTTATAACTAAGCACGGATTCCTTACCTTTAAGTGGGGGGTGACTGTGGGGGTGTGAGCAAAACAAGGTGAATTAGTCTGGTCAGGTTGAGTTGTTTGAGCCTAGGCCCTAGCCAGTGGGTCAAACACGGAAAATATCTCGGGGACAGGTCACACAACTGCAGGCTGAATATGGCTGAATTGATATGTTGCCATGACCACACTTGAGTGTCAATCGGCGATGGGGAACCCTTGAGGTACCACCTGCTCAAGCTCATGCCTCACTCTCGGCTGGATGGAATGGAATGGATTGGGTCGGATTGGATAAGGCGTGTCACATGTTTGCAGATTGCCCTGCGCATCAATGCAAGTTCGCAATTTCGTCATGGGCAAAAGCCAAGACAAATATGAGGCCATCGGATCCGACGTGCGCAATTGAGCCCCCCTATACAAATTATTTTTCAGTGCAGGGTCCACCTCGACCAAAGAAGTCTGCAATGTTTGGCAATCTTCGGTGAAAGCAATCCGAGGTTTAAAAATGGTTGCGCAACCACCAGACACTTGTCTTAGTGCAAGAATACCCCCTCCTTGGTTTATGTGCAGGGGGTAGCTAGGACTTGTTCTTGATGCTCCACCAATGGATTCCCCCCTTCAAAAGTGCACAAAGAGTAAAACGCCGAGTGCGGACGGAGCATCTAACAAGTAGTTTCGAGAGTATCACGAGCAGCAATCAGTTAGCATACCGCGTACCCAATGCGTACAGTTAGTACACATCTACAAAAAAACGATGCAATTCTTGGGCCACAATTGGATGTCCATGTGCCAACTGCTGGTTCCATCACAGGGACCCCACAAATCCTTTGATATTACCAAAGGGGTTCATGGGTGGCTCGTCATTTTTTTGAATTGACCCGCAAAATGGATTTTGGTTGCTTTTGGTGTCCTTTGAACCAACCCTAAGGATGCCCTCAAGACCAACATTGGCGCCTTGCCAACTTTTGAGTACTCCCGAGTGCACAGAACCCCCGAAACCACAAGAAAGGGGGGGATACAAGTACCACCTCAAAAGACGAGCCAAAGGCCGTCCCTGTGTCCTCGTTGAGGCGTGCCAGATCTTCTGCCACGTCCGCCTGGAGAGAAATGCCCTCATGCACCCCCTTGCGGGGATGGATATCCATGGGAATAAAACGGTATCCCCTTTCTTGGTGCAAGAAGTGCGGTTTTTTTTTGGGGGGGGTGTGTCCCGCAGAAAAAGTCGTCAACGGGTTCTCCACTGAAATGGCTTTCCAAGTTTAATGCCCCCAGAGATTTCAACCCAAAGGTCCCTCGAATTGCCGTGGGTCTGGCAGTGAGTCCAGCCACGCTATGTTCTGAGGTGCAACACCTTGAGCTGGATGAAGGAAGCCACTTCGTCATGCGGGGCGGCTTCTTGTTGATGCCCTCTTTGGCTTGTTGGTCTTAAAGAACAACTAAAGTCGGTCCTAAAGACTAACTAAAGGAAAATGTCTTTGTTGTTGACAACCTGCTACATTTGTCCATGTTTGTTGCATTCGTTGTCGCAAAGGACGGCCAAAAGGAAACCGAAGCCCATGTTGAAGATCTGCCGAATGAGGCAGTTCCCCATTTCGCCTGCGGTGAGGGCGACGGAGTGGAAGGTCGTGCCCGGAGATGATTTTGCAGACCTCGAAACATTCCACGAAATATCCATATGCCTTTGCATGTCTTCTCAGTAGGGCGGTCTTAAGATCCATTTTGGGATAGCCTCCAACGTGAGGCACTGAAGTAATGGCCGGTCTGAATCTGCTTTTGCGGCCTCATACATAGGGCCACCCACAAAAAATCAGTGGTGTCCTTTACGCTCAGAGAAAAGACCCACATTCTTCTTCGGAGATCTGCGCGTGGCCCGTCTTTCTTTAGGACCTGGACCCCCGAAAAATAGAACTACCTGGAGTCTCCATGACCCTTACAAAATAGGTCACTACCCAAAATAATGGGTCAATGGCATTGACCCATGTTTGAAGGGTCATGGAGACTCCAGGTATGTTTGTCGTTTATCCCGTGCCTTTACCACAAAAAGAGGAAAAACCCTCGAACCTTCTGCTCCAGCTCATCTCGATCTGAGCTTCAAACGCCCAGACACTTCGGTGAAGATTGCATCGAAGTCCTCGCCAAAAAAAGCAACGGTGGATGGAGGTGCCATCAGGTACCAGCCTATCTGGAGTCTCCTTCTGACCCTTAAAAAATGGGGTCATTACCCAAAATCATGGGGTCATTGACCCATTCTAAGAGAGTCATGGAGACTCCAGTCAGAAACATGGAGCCTTTCTGGGGGACCCGGTGGTGTGCATGTGGACCATGTGAACCACGTGAACCCTGAGAACCCCTCCCGGTGATTCCATTTCACAGACCATGGGAACAAACCTGGAAGAATGGCTGACTAGCGAGTAGGGTAGCTGACACAGGGAGGGTCTGAGAAACCGTCGGTTCCTGACGCGTGCCGAACCTCGAGTTCAACGTGAACCCGGTGGGTTGCCCGGTTGACCGGTTGCCCGGAAACGAAGACCTTGAGGGTTGCCCGGTTGACCACTGAGTTCTTGACATCTCACACCCACAGGCCTCGCTGACCGGTGGGCTTGCTGCTGTAGCCTGAGCAGTGTGAGTGACAAGCATCTCAAAAGCTTCCCACGGTCTTACACATACGAGCGCCCAGTGGCCATTGGGAAAAGGGGGCACCCGTTGTTCTTAGTTCCATTGACACCCGCGCCATGATGGGAAACTGGTATGAAGTATGAAAGGTGTCTGGAAGCACCCATTTTTCTGGGTTCGTCTTTTGCACGCACACACACAGCCAATGGTGGCAGGCGCCGCCGACAGGCCGACGGCTTTGAACCAAGGCCCTCGCAGGCCCACTGCGCGCAGGCTCGAAGTTGCTTCCCAGGAAGTGGCGTAGACCCCTCGGGGCGAGCATCACATGACACTCCCGAGTGAAGTTCCTGGATGGGCCCAAATGGCTAAAATTGTCTTCCCCGAGAATAGTTCAAGTCCAGAAGTCAAGGAATGAATTATGTTTCCCCTTTAAACATCACGCAAAGGAAACTCAGGAAAGGCCCTGTTTAGCTGATGTTCCAAAATGCAACAGGAAGTATAGAGACACCTGTCCCTGGAATGCAGAGGTCTCAGCAGTACTTCAAAACTGGAGGATGATGACGATGCAACTACTTCTTTGTCCCTTTCTTTTCATCTTGCACCAACGTTCCCCACGTTCACAGTCACGATTACATGCGGGTGAAAGTAAATGGCTCTAGATTCACCCTGGCGTACATGGGGAGAGCTGGGTCTCGCTCCTGCAACACAGGCTCACCTAGATGTTGAAATGCCAAACGCGTTTAGTATGAAACTGAACTGGACATGGACTTGTTGGTTGCATTCCACCATTTTTGAAAATGTTCGAACCATTGGCGCTGCAACATGCCGTTCGCACCAATGACGATGGATAAAACCGACACACCCCCAGTGCGGCGCCCTTTCACCAAGACCCTTGCCCTGCCGGCGCCATCCAAGGTGGCATGCGGTTGTTCTCTTGCTCACCGTGCGGGAAGGGCCTCGCACAGTGGCCGTGAGGCTCTGTTTTAGGCGTTCGCGTTGCTTTGCCTTAGCCTGTGGCAATGTTGCGCTGGGAATCAGAATGCAATTTTTGTCAGCCCTGAACAATGCCACCCGGCCTGGAACCTGATGAGTTTGGCCCGTGGAATGCTTGCATAACTGGCTGGTTCTTAAAAGGGAATCAATGTTTGGGATTTGGGAACAAACTGGTTCGGGCCCTGTCAAAACTTCCCCCGTTTCTTCCCAAAGAAGTCAAATATGACAGTTAGCCTTATTTGAGCTCATGTATGGGTTTACTTGATTCGTGATCGAGGGGCCGCGCCAACCTCGTGAACGGTTGAGTGAGGGGGCGCCGCGGGCTGCGCGCTGCCCCTAGTCGACACAATAACACACTTTCCTCCGTCACACGTCAGCGCGGTCGCATAGCATCGTCACGTACCTGATTCTCGGAGTCCACTTCAAGACCGCGCAAAACAGGAAAACTATTGCAAAACACAAGGTTTCCAAGGGCGCAGCCATTGGCCAAAGCCCCAAGCCTGACGAACGCCAATTACGCTGCGCCGCCTTGAGCGACGCCCGGTGGGATGGGAAAAGCGACCTCGACATGAATAGGATGGTCATGCGACGTCAGGGAAACCTTGACCCGCGGGTCACACCTGTCTCTCCCTCAAAGCACGTTTTTGGCGCACGGGTTGCGCATCGCGTGTAAGTGTCTTCGTGAAACGCCTCCTGTTCCAAGCGCTGGGCGAGGGCTGGGCACGCCGCTAAGAGGAGTTGGAGGAACTCCCCAGCGTCGTCTTGCGCGGCGACGTCTCGTTCATGGGTCTGGAGCCAGACGCCCCGCAGCGTCGCGGGTTGTCTTCAGCCCGCAGACAATGCAGGAAGAGGGGCGCGCGGGGCCGGGCGAGTGTGCAGTTATGACACTTGTGGCGATTGCCGACAAGCTCTGCCGCAGTAAGAGCGCTGGAAGCTCGTGTTGTCCGGGGTGTGCGCCGCGCCAGATGCCGGAAGCTTGCGCAGAACCGCCTCGTCTGTGCGCCGGCTCTAGGCCCAGCGCATCCCACAGCACTGTCCTGACCCATCGCCTTCAATGTGTTGAAGCCGTTTGTAAAGATCCTGCAAAAAGCACAATAGGCATAATGCCCTTTGCGCCACTCCGGATTGGAAATGGGAAGTTGGCGTTCATCGCTGCGGCCAAGACCTATTGGAACAAGGCTTTCCCCCGCGTTGCTCCCACCAGAAACAGGACAAAACAGCGGGTTCATTCTCAGCCTGGGAAGGAAAATTGATCACCGTGTTGTCCACGAAGAACAAGGAGCCGGGCGCGCAGCCGCCCAAAGCAACAGGCACCCCAACTCTCCAAACTTCCACTCAGTCACAGCTCAGGCGCCGCAGCTGGCAGCCAGTGGGCTACAGCCATCGAAGTGGCATCACGCACGAAGGGAGGCAACTTACTCTTAACAGGGCAGAATCCACGCAAACAACAAGAAGGTTCCACTCAGTGCTAATGATACCTCCTGCGTAGCAAAAACCTAGCGGTGGCGTGGCCAAAGGTGAGGAAACAAGAAAGAAGAAGGAGAAGGAAAGAAGAAAAAGGAGGAGGAAAAGGACAAGGAGGAGAAGAAGCATGAGAAGGAGAATGCAAGTGTAGCACGCGAAGTACAACTCCGCAGCTCCAGCTCGAAAATCGCAACTTTGTAGTACAAGTGTAGTACGCGAAGCACACTTGCATCACTCCCCTGAAAAACATACTGAAATAGCAGCGTGCGGAGGGTATCCTTTTTGGGTGGTTTCAATGGGAAACGAGCCTTGGTCGCTGTTCACCCCCCTGCAAAAAGCTTTAAACTGTTTTGGGAGTTTAGTGGAAAATACCGAAATATTTCAACCAAAAAGGTTAAAGTCTAAAGATCCGTTGCCTAATAGCAGTCAAGGAACAGAAACGCCACATATTCTTGGGGGGTCCCCCAGTTCAGTGCCTCCAAAAGGAGAACTCCTTAATGGCAATCTGTGGGGTTCCATGTGGGGCTCTGTCTCAGAATGGATTGCACCCCCCCCCCAAACCCCCCCCCCCGAAAAAAAAACAAAGCAACAGAGAGTAGTCTCCGTTTGGCTTCCCTAGCTTCTATGGGTTGTGACCAAAGTTACCAAGTGCGCAACAAGTGTGAAAGAAAACCGCCCCTCCCCTTCAAAGATCGTTCCGACCAAAACCTGGCTGCCCCGCTTACACCCTAAAACTCGAATGGAAACATGGGTTCCGCTCCCCCCCCCCTGTCGCTGATTGTTGCAGCTGAAAGCTATGGGCTTAAGATGCTCTGTGGTTCACAGCAGCTTTCAAGCAAAGTTCCGCAGGTTTTCGGGGGTTCCGAGGCTCTTGGGGATATCACCCGGGCGGATTTTTGTTTTGGGGGTCGAGTTTCTCGGGTTTCCGGGTCAATGAGCCCATGATTTTGGGTAATGAGCCCACCCATCTTTTAAGGGTCAGAAGGGAGCCTCCAGGTTTGGTTTCCGACGAAAAGGACGAAAACGAGCTTTTGGGTGGGTCTCACGGATCCGACTTCGCGGAAGCTGAGCACGCCGCTCCCGGCGCAGCAAGGGATGCTCTGCGGGAGCGTCCATCTCGCCCGGCTCCCAGGCGGGCCCCTCGAAAGTGATAGACGTCACCGTGCCAAAAGCTCCAGGAAAAGAACTTCCGCATTTTTTTGGGGGGGGTCCAGGAAAAGAACACGGAAAACTTCTGCATTTTTTTGTTTGGGGCTGGTTGCTTCTTTTTATACTCGAAAATGAACCATCCTCAGAAATGGAGACTTTGGGCCCGACTAGATGTTTGCAGATGTTGGGTGTGAGGTCAACACCTGACTAAGGTTTGGTGGTATTCACCATTGGGAAACCTAATCTTTCTGAAACAAGACTTGGATCCTGTTCTTAGGAAATAAGTTGGAATGAACCCAGACTGAACCATCCAACTGGTGCCCTTTTAATTGAACGGGGATCCCAAAGCGGCTTCCAAAAACACTTAAACAATGCTACTGGGAACCGACAGGTATGCATCTTTTAGCTCCAAGCCCTGACAGACGAATTGGATCCAGAAGTAAAGAACCTACAGAATGGTGAGCTGATGTTACGGCAAGCTTGCCAAAATGTGTGCAAATGTAGTTGAGATGGCTTCCACTACCCGCACACTACACGGTGGGGGGAGGGGGGGTAGAGGCTGTGCGGTGGCTGTAATTCTTTACAACCTGGTTGTAGTGGTGGTTTGGTAGTGGAAGCCATCTTAGAATCTATCCAATGGCTGTGGTAGAATGTACGTACTAATTGCCTCGTATATTTGGTATGGATGCTTGGAGAACAGACTTGACATCTTAGTATGTGGGCACTTTCCAACCATTGACCGGTTCCAACCATTTAGACCGGCAAAAAAAAGAGAGAAACAAATCCCAGCCAGGGATTGGCCCGGTCAGCGAGCTCGTTTTGCCCCATCGATGAAAATTCGGAGACTTCCGTGGCTTTGCGCATCAGAAAGGGAATGCTTCAATGCAGTGCCTTCTGCCGGAAGCATTGCCCCGTTTGTCCTTGTATAAATATATATATATATATATGCAGGTTTATATAACAAATAAATAAATAAATAAATAAATAAGTATAAAAAAGACAAATGAATAAACATACATACATATATATATATATATATTTAATATAATATATATATATATATATTTAAATTATAAGCTGCAGAGTTATCTGCTTGCTTGAAGGGTCAGGTATTCCCACCTCGTTCTCCAACCCTGTTCCCAAGGCCGCCTGCCTTTGTGATCTCTCAACCACATCTATGCTGTTTTGAGGGTGTGTTACCCAAAATGTGTTTCCACCCGGCCTTTACTGTAGTCTTCTGGAAATGAAGGCAGTCGCTCACATATGTTTTGAGCGCTGCCAGTTCAGGCTGGCTTGAAATGAAACCAAAAGGAAAACCACCCTTTTGAGCGTTGCCCACTATGAGTCTGCGCTTGACGCACAAATGCTTCCCCAACAAGGTCCCAAGGAACCAATGCACCGACACTCATGCCGCAAGCCTTGGCCAACAAAAGCCACCTGAGCAATCAACACCTGGCACTACAGGGTGTATCTAAGACTCATGGCAAAGAATTTAGGGCTGAGAGCGCTGCACTTCTTTCTGACCCGACTTCCGGCTTCGTTTTCTGGGCGCCCCGCATTGCCCAAGCCCTGAGCCGGGCCACGCATGCCTGGCACTCACAGCCGGGCCCTGGTGAGACAAGTCCGGGGACTCGCAGAAGCTGTATGAAAAACACCGGAACATTCTCAGTTGTTCAGTGAGCTGGAAAAAAAAAGGGAACCCTTTTTGGGGCTTGGGCCATTTTTAGTGGGCAGGTGCCGAAAAAAAGGAAAAAAGCGGATTCCCTGCAGAAAGATCAAAGGAGTACTTGGGTGTGTCGGCCAACTTTATAAGTTGTTGCTAACCTGGGTGGAACAACCCACTTACAAAGGCTCCCTATATAAGTGCAGCTAACCCTGTCACTATTATAGCGAGTTTGGGTTATAACCAAGGTGGTTAACCACTTACTAACTTGGCCTAACGCCACCCAACTTTGGCGATTCAAACATTCAAGTACTAAGCATAACAAAATCTCGGCTGCTTTCTGCTCCCCTGCTAAAAGCTTAACTTCTAGTGGCTTAATGGAAAACCCATTGATTGGCAAAAAGTTAAAGTCCTAACATCCAAGCAAAATGCGCCAAAGAAAAAGGCAGCGCGGTATGGCGGACTCCGTTCGCAATCAGCACTCCGCGTCGGCCTCTGGAAGGTGGCATCTGCATTCTTCGCATCCTCGGAGCGATTCCGGGAGGCTGCGCCCTGGGCTGAGACCAAAGAGCTCACACCAAAACCCCCTTGCGGTCGGTCAGAGAAAGTTCCATGGCTTTAGGTTAACTAAATCAACCTTCCCAACAACCGGCTCCGTTGTTTTACCACAAAAGTGACCCCCGTTCAGTGGTAGGTTACAGGCAAACCACCAAATGTGTGACTTTGGTATGCCGCAGAAACAGTAAAAAGAAACCGCAACATGAGTTTACCCTCTTTTCACTTAGGGAACAGCCCTGTCACTCTAAAGACTCGTAACCCCCCAAGCCCCGGCCACAATTGGGCGGATCCGAATTCTTTGTAGCCATGGGCAGATCCACCCGAGGAATCAAATTATTTCTCTTGCTTCCTGAGTGAAAGAGTGAATTGGCAAACAAAGAGTCACCACTCTTCTTACTTGCCACTAAAATGAGTCTTCCCAAAAAGTGCAAAGTCCCAGGCACTCGTAGAGTGAGTAAACCCTATTGACCAGTATCCCCACCAAGCAGTAGAAAGTGAAACCACCAACCAGCTTCTGACTTTGATAACCCCCCCGGCAAAAATACAACACAAAACAAAACAAGTCAAGGTAATGACATCGGTGCGCCCATTCCGGATCCATTTCTTTCTCATGGCGCTCGGAACTGCCGCTCTAAGACTCTAAGCTCAAGACTGCCCTCCGCGGTGCACACCTTGTATCACCTGATTGCACACCCTTTGTTATTTTTTTTTGGGGGGGGGCAGGGGGGATTTATGGGAAATGCAGTTTTTGTTTTCTGCTTTTACTCCTTTTTTTTTTGGGGGGGGGTCGGTCAGGGAGCCTCAAGGAACCTTGCCAAGTCGGGCGGGGGGTCCCCATTCAGAGAGAAACCCATGGTGGAACTCAAAAAAAAAGGCGCGGGGGTTCCTTCTGGTGTCCTTTTACTCCAAGAAGGGGTACCCTCGAAACAAGGCACACCATGGCTCTGCACACTTCTTTCCATGCGCTGGGAACTGGCCAGGGCTTCCTTCTGGTTTCTGTCAAATGCAAAAAGGGGTCCATCTTGATGGACAAATCCGTGTTGCACCATCGGATAAAACACGTACCAACTGGTGCAGGATTTTGTCTATCCACGAGAAAAGACCGACCAGCACATCTGGCACTGAGTTGACGACACCGCCTTGCCCCAGATCAATGTCCACCTGTGTTGCGTTCAGAAACTGCCAACATGAATGCCGAAAAGTCAAGCTGAGGGCCTTACGTTGCGTCTTGTTCTAAATGGCAACTAGAGCGAAACCACCCATTGTGGGGGTTCCCTTGGAGAGCTCCCAACATGAGATTGCACGGCCCGAGCACATCTGACTACCCTGGCCATCCGAACAAAAAACAAATCGATCCAAGGCAGCTGCTCGGAAAGTCATGCCGTCACCACCCTCCATCCGGCTCTGCTCCTGATCGAACCTAAGCGTCGATGCGAAGCAAAAACCATCAATCCAAACAACTTCTTCCTGTGGATTTTCTGTGACTGCATGTGTTTGATCCCAACCAGTAACACAACGTCAGCCGGGACCTGAAAAACCTAAGGCCAAGCCACCTACCCTGGAACCAACCGAGCCCTGTGCCGGAGCCTGAGATTCCACCCGAGGTCCCGGCACCACATTTTGCAAGACCTCTCGAGGCGACGGCCAAAGGAACTCCCAAAGGAACGCCCCAGTCCCCTGATGCGTTTTCCAGGCTGTCAACACCCAGAAACCTGAAAATCCGCCAATAAATCGCGAATCGCTAGATCTTAAATTCATAAATTCATAATTTGACACTTTCATACCCAAACACTCCCATGTACTGTGTACCCACGTGTACCCTCCAAACAGGTCTTAAATGTTACCTACATGGATTGTGTGGGATAAGCATAATATACTAAAACACTTTCACGAGGAAAGGTCAGCACTCTGTTCAGAGTAAGACATCCTTCATGGCGCAAGTCAAGTAAACTTGCTGGTGCTCAGCAGGAATGACCTTTGTTGTTTCGGTGGGATGGATCTTCTGGGGGCCATTCCAGTTTCTCATTCCCTGCCGATAGAACGAGCAAGTAGGTTCACCCTGATTTTTCACATAGGTGTGCTTCTTAGAGAAAGTTTGGCGAGAAATCGATGGGTTCCACTGGTTTCGCTTGGTTTTATGCCACCCATGTTACCAGGACAATCTCTATGTTCCCCAGACGCCCACTGCTGCTCTTGTTTTGTCTGCCAATGGCCTGAGTTGTTCTTTTAATTGTTTCCCATGGGAAAACGTTTTTCTACCAATGGCCAGAGTGTGTTTTTTCCCATGTACCAGGAAAAACTATGTCTTTCCCATGTTTTTTTTTTGTTTGGCTCGATTTTGCCACCAATCGTCTGAGGTGTTCCAAAGGCCTGAAATGTTTGAGGCTTCGGCTCCAGGACCTTGCCCCAAGAGCTGGTCCCGAAGCTCGTTCACCAGCACCACCTGAGACTTCGCTTCGCTTTGCTCAGTTCAGTGACCCTGGAAAACAAAAGGACCCTTTTTGGGGCTTGGACCATTTTTCGTGGGGCCACCTAAAGAAAGGGGACAAAGGTGGCACTGAACAACTGAGTTTGGGTCTGTGACCAAATTTCAGGTGACCTGGTGAATTGGGAATTTTCTGACAAGATTCGGTGGGGTTTACGGTTTGATGTCCACCAACCACTTGCCAGGAATTCCCTGAATTTAAATTCATGACCAAGTTTTGGTTTGCAGGAGGCGCGGGCAAGAGACCAGAATCGAAAAGGGGGATTCTGCTTTTGTTAAGGGGACCCCCCCCCCCCAAGAATAGCGGTTTTCCGCTTGGTCTCCCTGTTCAAACCACCGGTGTTGACTCGAACTGACCTGTACGTGTGACTGGGGGTGGTCACTGAGCGTCACTGAGCAGATTTACAGATTTATATACCGATTCTGCCATTCCAAAACGTGAACAGCTGGCGATTTGGAGCCGAGGTGACCCTCAAACATATATACCTTAATGGAGGCATCTGAGCATGTTGGGACCATAGCATGTCTGAGTGACAAGGGCCTTGTCTAGGACTAGGACCTAGACTGAACGATTCGAACTTCTTCCACGCGTAGATGCTGCAGTAAGCAAGGCTGATGCTGCACAAGAGCTCCAGCCTAGACCATCTTATCTGCCATTGCTTTTTCTGCCCCCCACAGTGAACCGGCTCCTGCGTTGAATTTCCTTGCTTGCCCAAATACAGAGCTGTGCTTTCACTGAATGCAGCTTCAGCTAATCGAAGGAGCTGGGGAGTCGAAAGGAGGAGCTAGCCTGTGATTTGCCTCCACAATCCCACCCTGGTAACATGGGTGCTGTGTTTTCTTCTACCCCAAACTTGGGGTGGAATTTGGCATTTTGGGTCCTGTTTTGGAACACACACGCACACACGCACGCATATGGTGTGTCCATTTTCTGCAGAAGGGCGCTTTTACGATTGCACCTAGGAACTTGTCTGAAGAGGAGCCAAAATGGTCGGTTTCCTGCTGCTGTCCATTTGGAAAGCCAAAAGAGGCTCCCGAAAAGAGCTGCCCAGGGATTTTGTTCATTGGGGCTCCCAACCACTCCCCACATAGATGTTGGTCATCCCTTGCTCCTTGGCTCCCTTTGCTAGTTTCTCCTCAAACCTATATAAGTTTCGGAACATGGTGTTGATGTCGTCCTTTCAATATAGTTTAAGTCGGCGAGTCCACTTCTCTTGGCCCCCGGCAGAGGAAATTCCATGGGCCTCCTGCCCAAAGTCCCCCATGACGCCCTCCAAATCCTCGCGGGGCAGTCCAACAGCCTTCGACACGTCGTCTTCAAGTCGGGGCACGGCTCCTGTTTGGGATGCCCCACATGTCTGGCATGTCTGGGCGTGCCAGGCGCAGGCAGGGCCCCAGCTTTGAGACAGGTTCGCGCTCACGAGATCGAGTTGAGGACAGATGCCCCGAACCCGCCCTTTGGAGGCCAAAAAGGGGTCCAGCACATGAGTCATGTCAATCTGACATGCCATGCTTTCTGAACCACTGTGGGAGCGTGTCAATGGACTCGCGAGCCAACACTGTCTTTTGTTTGTGTGTGTAGACTTTGATATTTCATCGACCTGGCGTCTTGTAACACCTCTCTATCCAAAATGCGGTGTTCAACGCAAAACATCTTGGCGATCAAGCTGGTGTGCAGACGTAAAGCAGATCTCGCTTGAGACACCACTTGTGACCGTCAGTGACAAATCTCGATCTGGCCAATCTAGGGGCTGAATTCCCATTCCTTGCAGTATTGAAACATGCCCATGCTTGGTGGTCTCCTGGACAAAAACAGGGGACCCTATTGAGGAAACGCGCTCGTTGCGCAGCTGGCCAAACCAAAACTGGAACTCACCTCCTGTCTGACGACCGCCTTGAGTCCCGGCCTCCTCGTCTTCCTCATCGTAATCACCATCGTCGTCTTCATCGCCATCCTGCGTGTGTGGGACCCTTTGGGCCGGTAACCCCAAAATGACACGAAAACCAGCTCAAACAGCTACCCCTAAAACACCCACATACACAAATGAGCATTTACTAGAGCCCCAACCCCGAAAAAACCAATATGCTCAGTGTCAAGGGGTTAATCCCTTTTGTTCGGCATTGGATTGGATTGGATTTACGAGGTCGCCTGAGTCAGAATCAAGCCCTGGCATTCAGGGGTCTACCCAACACCTGTGGTAAAGAAGCAAAAGGCCGGAGATTGCCGCACCCAATCCAAACTCACCGCCAAGGCCAAGGTGTCCCTGCAAATAGTGAAGGCTGCCGAACGAAGGTAGCCGAAACTCAGTCTTTTTCCTTTGACTTTGGCTCTCCCTAAATGCCAAAAGGGCACCTCACAAAATAAACACACGTGCCAAGTTCCTCTTTTGAAGGTGTTGTGCTTACAATGGACACTAAAAGGAAGCCACTCATGTTGTTTGGGGTCCCCTTTTGGGACAGGATATACAACCCGAACGGCTTGACCCCCAAATCGACCCCAAAAGCGGGTATCCCCGTTTTGAGTAGTTTCCTCTTGGCTTCCCCTTTCCAATAGCCCAACGGTATCCTCCCACCAACATAGCTGTGCACAAACTGTTGGAAAACCAAACCTTTGCGAAATGGGCCAATCAATGCCCAGTGAGTCCGTTTACCTGCATGGTAGGTAGCCAACGGCACTACCCTTCAAAAGCCAAAAGAAGAACATGCTAGTTACCTTTCTATAGTGCCAACTCTCAGTATACCAAGCCCACACGACACGTCCCACGCGAATCACCTTTTCCGCCGAGCAGGCGAGGCGGTGCGGGGGTTTGAAAACCGAGTCCTCCTCACCATCGTCGTGCACGCGCTCGGCCTAGAAGACCCATTTGACACAAAAACACTGCAGGTACAAATGGGCCACCCTTGGAAGGTGCTGGATAGTGGCTGTTGGCCCTTTTCCACCAGTTTCCTGCAGAAGTCTGAGCACCTGAGGGTAATCGAGGTCTGGCAGGAACCAGGCGAGACAGGGTGAAGACATCTGGAGAGTGACCCCCTACAGCACTCGACTTGCCACAGCAACGCGTCAAACCTCTGCGAAAGGCCTCATCGCCATCAACCTGGTCATCCATTTGGTCCATCACCCAGCCTGCGATTGCTCGATTGAAGCGCAAACCACTGCGCAAGGCATCAGTGCAATTTGAGGAAACACCACACGCAAACTTTACATTCGCCATACTGTCCAAACCCGGCGGAGACTTTGAACTTCCAACATGTCCAGACCCACGAAACAAAGGGAATTAGTCAACATCATTTGAGATTGAACCCACATACAGGCTTGTGTCAACCGAATGGATGGTTCCCAATTGGACTTTTTCAGCCCAGCCCCAAAAGGGTACTGCCAAAACAAACACACAGAGACACACAAACACAAACACAGACGCAAACACAAACACACCAATATGCCAACACACCAACACACCAACACACCCAGTACACATCAACACAGAGACACACAGTCACGCAGGCAGGCACACAAACACACAGACACACAAACACAGACATGCAAAAACACAGAAACACATAAACACACAGACACACAGACACACAAACATACACGTCGCACGCACAAACACATGCAGGCAAACAGGGCAAAGACGGACACAGACTCAGACACCGACACAAGACAGGCAGACACACAGACACACAGACAGACAGACAGACAGACACAAAGACAGACAGACAGACAGATAGACAGACAGACAGAAAGACGGTAACAAACAGACACAGACAAACACAGACAGACACAGACAGACAGACACAGACAGACTCAGAAACAGACACAGAAACAGAAACAAACACAAACAATCATGAACACCGTAGAGCCAATCCCAGTAGCGGAACTGTGAGTCATAAAAGGAAAGCCGAAAAAGCATGGAAGCGTCTGCATCCCTGTCTTGCCTTCATCTTCATCCTGGCGGGGATGAACTTGGCAGGTGCAAGTTGGACGCCCATGTTTTGTTTGTTTTCTTTGGACGGGGCCTTTGGAATCCCTCTCTGTTTAATGTAAACAGAAAGCCACCCGTTTTCACACGTTTATGAATGGGTTCTAGCAAGTGGATTCCTTTCGGATGCACACCTCTTTCTGCGCCGGAAGCCTTCAGCGTTTCTGGGGGCAAATCTCTTCGGCACAAACACCGACATCATCGTCTGGGCTCCAAATCTCTTTGACACGAGCGCTAGCATGTCTAGGGTCCCGATCTCACAATAACTTGCTGGTGCTCAGCGGGGAAATGAGGACCCCTATACAACCATCCATTCATTCCATGATTTCCTTTAAGGGAATCCCAGTTTCATTTTCTCATCCCCTCATTCCCTACTGAGCACCACCAAAAATAACCCACACACTCCCTTGTCCTCGTCCAGCGCTTCCCCACCTTCGCCCAGGTCATCCTCCTCGTGGCTGGTGGGTTTCTGGGTTTCTGGGTGTGGCCGTGGGTCAACACCAATGGGATCCCATTTTGGGGTAGCACCACCCGTTTTAGTCTATACTTAGTGGGGATTGGGATGTTCACTGTGGGTACGGGGTTTTGACCCATAGCCATGTCAGGATACCCGAACAAATGGGCGTCAAGCAAACGAAAGCCACTGAACGGGGTCAAAGCCACTGCGTGAAAAACAGAAGAAAACCACTTCAAAAAATGGGGCTCCGAATTTTGAGATTTTGAGAAACAAGAAAACACACCAAAACCATGGCTGGAGAGTTCCGACCCAACATGGCTCACCCACCCACCCCACCCACCCAGAAACCCAGAAACAGCTCCGATTTTGAGACAACCAACCAGAAAGGGCCATGGAGACCGCAGAGCGCGCCTCATCATCCTCTTCGTCGGGTCCGACTGCCTCCTTCGCAGGCCACCAAGTGAAGGAAGGAATCTTCCAGGAACGCACTGCCTATATAGGCTGTGGCTTTTTGAGGGTGTCCCTTGGTTTAAAAGGAAACACACATTTTAGGGATCCTCTATTTTAATCCTCTATTTTGACCCACACACACACATCCAGTTGAAGCTCATCATTTGTGGGGGGGTCGTGGCAGTCCCCACAAAAGTTGGTCAATTCATCGTGTTGAAACAAGTGCTGGAGATCAAATCAAGGGAGATCAACTTGGATCCTTATGGAACCGTGCACTTTCCTCTTGAAACGCACGAGCACTCCTCTCTGGACCCCACGAATCCAATCAAAGATCTCCAGGGACACCATCCGAGCCCGATGGCCGAGGGCCCAAGAAGGGGTCCAACCAAACCCCGAGCAGCTCGCTCTTCCGAGCTGAAATAAGGTGGTTGGGCTACTCCCCACATCAAGACCACCATTTGGGGGTGAATTCGGTCGTGCGAGGTCCCAATTCAGCTCAACGGGGGGGGCTCCAACCAAATCCCAAAGCACTTCCGCGAGCAACTTGGATCGGACTCCTCGGCCACCTCCACGTGCTCCAAGGGCGCGTCTCGGAGTGCTCGCAGGACCCTGGCGCAAACAACTTTCCGTGGAGATGTCACTCCAACTCAGCAAAAAAAAAAAACAAGAGATTTTGATGAACCTAGGTCCTCCAGATTTGAGAGGTTAGAATCAGGGTACCCTTTGTTCCCATTTTAGTAGGGGAACCCCCCCAAAACAGGGTAAAAGGGCACTACTGGGGCTCAGTTGCCCACACAAAACGGAAATCCAAGGCGAACCTTTTGGGACCCTGACATTTAAAAACAGGTTACCAAGATGTGAGAACCAAAAAGTCAAAAGGTCTATTCGCAAGCTCAACCATAAAGGAATCAGATATGTCATCCCAGACAGGCGATTTAGTATTTACGCCAAATACTTTCACGGTATCGTGAGACTCAGCTACAGGCCATACTCATGTCTTTTTTGAGGGTGCCCAATTGTGGTGGTTTTAAATGGGAACCAAAAAGGAAAACCACATTTTTTGGGGGGTCCACTAAAAAAAGACACACCCATATTCCCGAACATCGACCTTTTGCACTTGACCTTGCCATCACAGAGCCATTTGATCCTCTCTCGCCGGGGGCGGATCTGTTCCACTCTCCAAGTGGCAGACAGGTCTCCGGGGCTAACTTGGGCACTTGAAACTCACCCTGGAAATCCATGTCTGCTTCAATGCAAATCCAGCCGGTGATTTCAACCAAACCAGTGAGCAAGAACAAAAATGCAAAACGCGCATTGAAGCAATGCGTCACTCACCGGCATTTTGCCAGGAAAGGCGCAAACTTACCCAACATGGCAAACAAGAGAATGCAAAAGTTGGAGAAGCTATCCAGCAAACGTATTGATGGCCCCATGCCGCATCAAGAAATAACATGCTGATGGCTTCTCCATCCGAAACAAGAAACGCTGCACAATGGCGCAGCAACGAGCAAGCGTTGGCTCTCATGCGTCAAACAGCTTTCCTGAGGTGGGTTGGCATTTGGAGACATGAAGTTGTACGACAAAGCCGCATGTCGATGCAAGGTGTCGTCTCCATCTTTCGGCAAGGGGGTGGGATGCCCTTGCGAAGATGATTTACTCTAAGGTCTCCCTCCTGAAACGCGAAACGCCACACGAGCTACCACCTGCGTCTGGGCGAGCTCCATGGCCAGACGCCTCTTGGCGATACATCAAAACGTGTTTTTGGGGGAGGGGCCATGACCTCAATGTTCGAGCGGACAGAAATTTGTGCCAGGCCCTCAGGCCCTCGGTTTTTAAGTGGGACGACACCCTCTGTGTCCATCTGCGCATGCCCCGTTTCAACACACGAGCAAATGCCCATTCCTATCCCGGCCAATAAACGTCGGGAGGACACCAAGCAAGAGTGAGAAAATTGTTTCTGGTGCTATTTGCAAGGCAGCCAGGAAAGGGCAGCACCCCAACTCAAAATCTTCAAGGAATCAGCCTGAAGATGTTCGCTGAGAAACGCGGATGGTCAAACGCTTTGAAACAGGCATCGGGCTGACACACTTTGGGGGGAGCACCAGAACGCCACGAGCGCCACGTTTAACAACAAGTACCCGGAAAAAAAGAAAGACAAGTGATCTATTGAATTCAAGTTGGCACCTTTGAGCTCCTAAGAAAAATTAACAAAACACCATTCCTTTTCAGTTGGCTGACGCTCCCTATAACTCCCCTGAACAGACATGTCCCGAGGAAACTTTGCGGCAACCAACAGGTCCAGAAACATAATTAAACAGGCTGAAATGACATGTGCGTGCCAAAGCAGAGACACCCCAAACTAGCTGCTTCCCTGCTCCCCTTTAAAACAACCACAACGACCCCCCTAAGTGGTGGTTTCAAGATGTTCCAAGAAAACATCCACTTTGTTGACTTGGATAATTTCCAGAAACGGTCGAACAATACTGACCCCAGCTTCAACCAAACACAGGTCCCTGCACCTTTGCCGGCTTTTCCGAAGGTTTCGCCCAAAGATCCGTTTCCCCCTGCCCGACTCGCCCCCCATCCGTGTCTCGCCCACTCGGCGACTCGGCGACTCGCCCGAGGCGCGCTCGAAGGAGTGCAGCCCATGAACTCCGCCCTCCCTCTGCGCCGCTGCCGAGCGCAGCTCGAAGCGCAGCTGGCCCTCCTGGCGACGTCAAGTCCATGGAGATGGCTGTGGGGAATGGGAATCCACGTCTGTGATGCGACAGAAAGGGATACGACCAAAGACTGTTTTCTTCATATGAAGGGGGAGATTTTCTTTGTAGCACAGAAGTGGGGAGAAACCCCTTGATCCCACAACCCTGACTGGAGATGGATGGTTTTTCTTGGGGTTCCACTTCTCATTCACCGAGCACCAGCAAGTCTGCGAGCGTCTTCTTTTCTGGGTTTCTCTTCCCCCGCTGAGCAAAGAAAGAAAAAGTTTTCTGGGTTTCTCTTCCCTGAGGGAAAGTTCGTGGGTTGAGTGGGAAAAAACACATGTGTGCTTCTAACTGGTCTAAGACGCTCACACCAACATGTGAGGGTTCCAGTACAACCACCAAACGAGTAGCCTCAAATAATGACACACCAACCTCTGGAGGTCACCCTCTTGAACTCCACCGGATTTTGTTTTTTTGCTGGGAGGAATCATTCGGAAAACACCCCTCGAACCCTTCCCGGAATGGAGAAACTCCTCTTTCGTGGCATGGAACTCTCCTTTTGTACGACCAAGGAATTGGCCAGCACCGGGGGCCCGAGCGTATGGCCCCAACTCAACCGGGGGGGTTCCACAGGAGGAAAGCAGTCCTCCAAACCCTCCTGTCAGCTTCCACGATTGTTGGAAGGGCAATAGCAACAGGAGCGGTTGCCGAGATGACCATTTCTGCAGATTTACATCCATGCAGATTTATATCAAATGCTTGTATTCTCAAAAAAACACAGGAAGGGCAACCCATTGGCGAAAATAGACCTGCTTCAGAGTTGGAAACTGACCCCTTCGACGATTTTAACCTGAATCGTCGACCAGCTCTTAGCTCTGCTCCGCTGTCCTGAAGCATGGACTGGAGTTGCTGCACGCTCTTGGCTCCGATGTCCTGGCGCTGGAAAACGTCAGCTGGCAAGATGTGGCCATGGGTTAAAAGCCCGTACCCCCAGTGAACATCCCAATCCCCACTATAGACTAAAATGGGTGGTGCACCTACCCCAAAATGGTACCATTGGTTTTGACCCACAGCCATGTGTCTTCAGTTGGCCATTCCGAATTCATGAATGGACACCAGTTTCTGGACGCAACCCTGAATGGGGGGAACGCAAAACCTGCTCTGTACACTGGCCAAAACACCAATGTTGCTTCAACGACTACAAGTTGCTGTCCTGCATGCCGTGCCGAATGCCCTGCGTGAGGTACGGGATGTATCTGTGAATGCTGCCCTTGTCTTGGACGGTGCCAGACACGCCCTGGCCGGGAACAGCAATCTCTCCGATAAAAAGCAATAGCCCTGATTAGAGCAGGGCTGATTTGTTGTCCCTTCAAGCAATGTCTGAATTCGACAACTGAGAACTTAGCCAACACCTTGCAGATACCCCCTGTGGCAGCGCAACATTGATGATGGCAATGACGTGTGGTGATGGTGATGATGGTAGTGGTCATGGTCATGCTCATGGTGATGCTGATGATGACGACGATGATGATGAGTGATGACTTGTACTGAGGGGGTTGGCCATTCACCACAACTCACATCTGAAGCCTAGACTGACTCAGAGCAAGCTGCAAGCCTCAGCCCCAACTTGTCAAACCCAATGATGGCATAGCACTCCATTGCGAGAAAAGTGCGACATGTCACCTAAAAATCCCAGGTAGGCCTCGTGCCGCGGATTAGGAATAATTATCACTCCATTTAGACAAGCTTGTGAACAGGAACATATGAGAGCCATAAAGATTCTGCCTTCTCGCACTGATCCCGCCTGTGCAACCTTGATCGCGGAGGTGGTGCCGAAGTATCGGTCATCTGAGCCCTCACGTGCGAGATCAGCCAGCTGAAACATATATTTGCTGGCCAGGCTTGTCACTTTCCGTGTTCTTGCAATTTTGCCTTTGATCCGCATAGCACAAACACTTTCGGAACAAACACGCATGGATGCGCAACAAACATGATGACATTCCTGCATTCATAAGGATGGTCCCTGTACTTCAAGAAACTTCCTGGAGTCTCCATGACCCTAAAATGGGTCCATGACCCCTTAATTTTGGGTAATGCCCACCCATTTTTTAAGGGTCAGAAGGAGACTCCAGGTACTGGCAAAGTGCTGGATGAACGCAACTCCCAGCCCTTTCAGGTCTCGCGGCCTTCTTCATGGCGTCAATGGAGCCCATTCCGCGGTAGCGCTTCAGTCGCTTGCCATCCTCAGAGTAGAAGTACTCCCCGGGTGTCTCCGATGTGCCTCCGATCTCGTGCGCAATTTGGTTTAGGCACCCTTCTTGACATTCCCGCATGCACATCAAACAGAACGTGGAAACTGGAGCTTGACACCTGTTTCGCCTTGTTTCGCATTCATGAAGGCATTGTCATATATGAAAGTCAAACAGTCACATCATATGGGCCTCTCTGCCACTTGCAGGGAACGTGGGTGCGCCTTGTATACCGTTTATTTAGGCTACTGTAGTACATTTGAAAAGAAGCATTGAAACCAGGGATGAAGCTCTAGACAAAAAGTGCTGTTTACCCATACATCTATAGCGGGTCCCGTGGCCTTGTGTTGCTGCGCTGGTCATACTTCACTGGGCAATGTGCCTTGGAACCACTACAAAGGGACCACATTCTTTGAACCCAAGGGAAGGATTCAGAATTGCCCTCGAACAGCAGCACACAAACCGACTGAATGGTAGAACAAATTTTTGCAGGGCCTTTATGATCCCCATACCGAAGGGGGTCCCTTCACGAATGCACCTAAAAATCACCCGGTACATGTACCAACCCTTTGGAACAGCTACAGGCGGCAGCATCTTCCCTCGGAATCCTGTTTAGTGCTTCTGGGATTCTGGATTTGGCTGTGGGTCAAACAAAATA